TTAATATAATATCTTCAAGTTTCATGTGTTGTAGCAGGCCTTAGAATTCCATTACTTTTTAAAAGTAAATAATATCACATTGTATGTGTATAGCACATTTTATTTACCTATCCATCTATCCATGGTCATTTAGTTGTTTTTACCTTGTAGCAGCTGTGAATAATGTTGTTATGAGCATTGTATAAATGGTCATAGGTATTTTTTTAGCAGTAACAGAATAATTCCGGCATTTTTCTATTCTGAACAAGAACCTAAAACAGCCTTCCATTTCCTTCCCAGGATACCCCCATTTCTACCAACCCCTTTGCTCCAAGAGGCCAAATATTTTCTAGCAATTACCCTCTGGATGAGAGGGTCTGGATAGAGGGTCATTACTAGAAAAATAATAATGCCATTTCCAAATGTTACCACTGACTTTACCAAGAGCGCAACAGGTTGGGGAAGGACTGGGGAAAAAGTGGAGAAAGGCAAAGCAATTGTGAACCAATTTTTACTTCAAAATGTATTTTCAAAAGTAAGGTATAAATCTTTGGTGATGTGCTACTCAATGAAGTGTTAAAAATAGGCATGTTGAAGAAGGTTTTCCCATTGAGGTGAAAGATAACATTTATTTCTTTAGCCATTGAGCTATCATTAGACATTTTCTTCCTGGAACATACACTCAAAGAGTTCAGGGACTTTCTGCTCTCTCTCCTCTCTCTAGGAGAGAGCCCATAATAGGCACTCAATAAATATTTATGAAATAAGTGAGTAAAATGAATGATTAGAAGAAGCCCTTAGTATATCTTAAGCACTGTGCAAGATGTTATGGAGTGTCAAATAACACCATCTCCACCTACATAATGCTTAAAACTAGGTAGGGAATTGGAAACACACCATGAGGTAGCTGTAAAAATACTGTAATGGATGTGCAGAGGAAGGAAAGATTACCTCTTAGGGATGGTAAGGGAAGTTACGAAGTGAAGATGGTTAGCAGGAAAAGCTTTGACAGATGGAAAATTGAATTATGTAACATAGGGACAATCAAAGTCATGGTGACAGCAAGCAGCATAACAATGAAGGATGGTTTTTAGAACTTTCATTCTGTTCAATAAGCTTTAATTTTTTTTTTTTTTTTACTTAATTTAAGTTTCACAGTATCTTTCATTTGCCCATCTCCAGGAGGAAATACTCATTCTTTATATTTCAGATAAGGAAATAAACACAGTAATTAACTGCTAAATCCTGGCTATAAGTCTAGGCTTTCAGAACTCATAATTGGTTATTCCAACAAATAGATTGCATTCTTGTGTTTTCATTGGCTTATTTTGGGCTGACACATAAGATGTAAGTATAGGGGAGGAGAAAAAGACGAAAACCAGAAAACTCTGCAAGGTTAAAGTACTGGAATAAATCAGGGGGTATTGCTTTTTTTTCTAGATTTCCAAAGAACTTTACCATATTTTAAGTACAATTGCTTGTACAGAATTATTATTTTATTTGTTCTTTTTAGTTCCTAAAAATTAAAAAAAAATTAAGTATTATTGTTCTTGGACAGAATATTGGGGTAGAAGTTGTAGAGAATAATATAAAAACCTTGATCATTAATTGTTAATTTTATTATGATTCTTTCATGCCTTTCTTTATGTTTTTAAGTTTGACTACAAATATATTTATGAGCTCTGTTTTTAAATTAATTTGGATGAATATTTTGAACAAAGATCCTCGTTTAAAATATTATTCAACTGAAATGAGTTCTAATGTTTTCTTGCCTATAAGAATCCTTGTTTTTTTGGAAAATAATTCATAATCAATTTAGGTGCAAAAAAATAAAACATATTTCTAACAAGAAGGATTATGAACTAATGAAAGGAAATACATGGCAAAGAGCGCTTTTATTTTTATGGATGAAAGAAGATATGAATTAAAGAGATGCTCCAGATGAGTATCAATGTTTATATTCTTCTCATAATGTGAATTTGATGGACATGAGAAGGTTACTGGAACAGTTTTAATGGTAGCATGAATCCGCAGCAATAGGCCAGCTTTTACTTATGTTTATAATAATTCGATTTTTAAAGGTAGGCTACTATCAACACTACATTTAAAAATCATTAACATTTCTCATGTTTTGGGATAAAAATGTTGATCTGTACCTTTAGTTGTCTGCATAGATTAAAAATCCAAGGTTCATATTTATTTCCAGCAACTATATGTATGAGAAAGAATCATAAAAGGAGCAGAATTTAAAATAATAGAGTTGAAAAAGGCCTAGAGATTGGTATCAACTTCTACTATAGTTTGCCAGCAGATGTGATGGTTTATTTTATGTGTCAACTTGGCTGTGTTATCTATGATGCCTGATTGTCTGGTCAAACACTAGAATGGATGTTGCTATGAAGATGTTTATGGATGAGATTAGCATTTACGACTGTTGACTCTGGGTAAAGCAGATTACCTGCTATAATAGGTGTAGGCCTCATCCAATCAGTTGAAGGCCCTCAGAGCAAACACTGAAGTTTACTGAAGAAGCTATTCTACCTCAGGACTAAAACATACTACTCCTTCCCAGCTTTTGCTGCAAATTTCAGACTTGCCAGCTCTCACAATCATGTGAACCAATTTCTTAAAACAAACCTCTTTCTCTCTGTATATACTACTGGTTCTGTTTTACTGGAGAACTCTAACTAATACAGTGGCCAAACTGAAACCCAGATTAATTGTGTGATTTTTCCTGATGTCATTTAGTAAATGATATCAGGGTTTGTGAGAGAAAGATGAGGAAATTAGGTAATAAAATATTATTCAAAATATTGATTACAGGCAGGCCAAGAAAGAAATTTGGAACTATCAACTTTCAGCCTTGTCTTTCCTGGTAGATTACATGTTCACAATATTAATGGCTAATGTTAGCATAAAATCCAACACATTTAAAAATCCCGGTATTCAAAGCAGATAAAAGAGAGAAGGAAGTTTTCTATGCTTTCCCAAAAGACAGTGTGTGAATCTTTACAGAAAGAGTTTTCTTCTACATTTAAGGTGGTTCAATAATTATTTTACCCTCTTGAAAAAGAATACTTTAAAAGGCTAGGACTGGCTAGGAAAGACAGAGAGGTAAACACAAATATCTTGTTATTTCAGTGAACATGCATACACTCTCCTGAAAGCTTCACTACAAATCTCTGAGTTTTATCATCATCTTATAATGGAGAAAATGAGCCTTTGGAAAATAGAGAGTTTGCTCAATCTACTCAGAAAAAGAGCAACTAACTCTCAGATCTAACTTTTCCTTGTTTCCCTGCAATGATATCCTGAGAGTAACAACATTAGTCAGTAGGGTGTTTATTACAGGTCTCTTGACTAAGAATCCTATGGAAAAAAATAAAATTCTCATTTTAATTAAAAGGATATGTGGGTTCTGTTGTGCTAACATGAATATTAAGATTTGCTAGGGGGAAAAATTCCAGTACATCTCATTCTCATTCCAAAAGATAACCCTACTATGTCTTCTTGAAGATATGAACTGATTCTATAAGGAGAATGGAAAATTTGACCAAAATGATACAACATTATCTTTCTTGTCTCCATCTTTTCCACACTGTTCCCCAAATTGGTGGTGAATATTCTTTGGTCTTAGCATCCTTGTACAAGTAGACTCTAGGGTTTAAAAATGCCAAATGGGTTTGCTGAACTGAAACGATTATTCTCATGTTTCATCTCTCTCTCTCTCTCTCTCTCTCTCTCTCTCTCTCTCTCCCCTCCCTCCCTCCCTCCCTCCCTCTCTCCCTCTCCCTCTCCCTTTCCCTCCAACCTTGATTTTTATTTCTCCAACCCAAGAATTTCCTTTGGGAAAAGAATTTATATACCACTGGATGTAAGAATAGGAGCACCTTTGTTTCTTTTCCATTCTCTGGACTGCAAAGGCCCAACACACTTTAAAAAAAAAATTTTTTTTTTAGTCATAGATGAACACAAATCTTTATTTTATTTATTCATTTTTATGTAGTGCTGAGGATCTAAAGCATTGCCTCACGTGAGCTAGGCGAGTATTCTACCACTGAGCTACATCTAATCCTTCTCTATATATTCCCACTCAGGCCACCAGGCTTGTCTCAGAACATGAATAAGACTTCATCTCTCTCCTCTTTCTCATTGGAAAGTATGTGGACCCAGTTCTTTGGAGACTCAGTGAGAGATTTCTCCTGAGAGAGAAATATCTTTCTAGGCTGCCAAAAAAAAAAAAAAAGAAAAAAAAGAAAATTCAGACAATCACATAGATCACTTCAAATGGTGCCGGACACATTTCACTAAATGCTCCAGGCAGTCATTACAGCGTGCCATTGGGAGATGTGGTGGTTTTCTTCCTGCATCAGGCTTCAGTCTTGCCCTGAGTGCCATGAAACCAAGAGGGAGGCCAGAGGCAGCTTTCTCTGTAGAAATAACAGATCTCCGCTATCTGGTGCAATGCTTCTTTACTACCAAATGTCTGAAGCAGGGTTCCAGGGATAAGTAGGAACCATCTAGAATTTACTGCCCTTCCCTGACACCACAGTTGTCAGCTATTCCAAGAATTAGGCAAATTGGTAACTAAAGACCACCATCTTGTGTAAGCAGGGTTGTGGGCTCTTCCCGAGGAAATTCATATCCAGAAAGCTTACGGAAAGGAAGACTCTGCACTAAGAATGGGAAGTCCTGAAAATCAGCGTAAAAGTCTGGCCCTCAAGAGAACAGTTACACCCCCAAAGTATGCTAGGATTCTAGGTTCAACCCCAAGACTGTCATTCATACAAAAAAGACCAGGTAGTCACACCAGTGGACGGAGAAAGACCATGGACAGAGCAAGACCATGGACAGACCGGCGGGGAGAATCAAGTTAAAAAATAAAATATAAAAGGCTAATAATAAGAAGCCAAGGAAAGCTGCAGAATGGCGAGGAAAGGCAGAGCCGCCTAGGAGGAGTGAGACTGGAGGAAAGAGTCAGGAGGGAGGGGAGAGCGAGGAGAGCTGGGCACGGACGTCAGGAACAAAAGCTCGGGCTGAGTCTGGCGGAGGCACTGAGGGAGCACGGGGTGTTTTGAATAATTATTAAAATTAGCATGTGTCTGCGCCATCCTGTGGGTGTGGCGCAGAGCGGAGTGTAAACTCTAGCGGGGCTCGAGCAAACATTGGATTAGCGGTAGCAGCCTGCCAGCCTGCCCGAGGAGTGCGGGGACCAGCTCGCGGCACGTCGACCAGCACGATGGCCTCGTCTCAGGGGAAAAACGAGCTGAAATTCGCCGACTGGATGGCAACTCTGCCGGAGAGCATCCACAGCATCCCCCTCACCAATTTAGCCATCCCAGGTAGGCGCGCAGAGGCTGCTTGCCCAGCGCTTGGCGCCCGCTCTACCTGCCCCGCCCTGCTTTATCTGCCACTAAGTGGTAACTTGCCACGATGCCCGCGGGAGGGAAACTCGTCTTCAGGGGTGGGTCTCAGGCCAGGCGAGTGCATGCCTGGTGACCTCGGGCTTCCGGACATTTTCCGAACCTCTGGGGACCGTGGCGCCAGGAGTCAAGGTGACTGCTTCCCCCCAGGGTTATTGAAGCAGGCTGTTTGCGCAGGACTGGGGTAGGAAAGAAGCGGGGCTTTAGGATGGCGCCTCGTGCCCCCTCCCATGATTTTCCCTGCAGATTTGGGGAGCACAGGGCGGTTTCTGAAGCTGAGGGGTGATAGTGCGCGGTGAGTAAGAGCTGGTGTCCGAGGGACTCTGCTCCCGCGAGTGGACCTGAGTCTATCCCTAGCAGGGAATGGAACAGATTTGGTAGATTCTCGGTTAAAACCTCATTAATATTAGTTCCCAGACTCCTTTAAAAAGACAAAGCGCTTCTCAAGAGTGATGAAAGTTCAGGGACAGGCGGCAGCGTGATCGCTGCCCTTGACAGAGAGCTGAAGGGGGCGAGAAGCTTGCACCGTCTCCTGATCTGCGTGTACCCTGAGGACCTGGCCGAGTGGCCACCATCTGGAGTCTGGTCCAAGTGCAGTTAGCAACGTTAAGGCACTCGGGTCAAGAAAGCAAACCCGTGCGAGCCTGGCGTTTGCTGCTCCGCACAGAAACTGGGTATGGGAACCTGCGCGAGCAGGGGCGGAGGGGTGGGATTAATGCGCAAATGGTGGGAGAAAGGTGAGTGAGTCCAAACAGCTTAGAAGGAAGGAAGCATGGAGGGGGGGCGGGCGATACGAGGAAAAGACGTGGGGTATCAAGAGGTTTCAGTATGGCGCGCGCGACTTGGACTAGAGCACTCGGCAGTTTCTGGGTTGGGGGGGGGGGGGGGTTGCGCAGCCGTCCCTAGCTCTAGTAGCCATTGAGGGTGGGTCTTTTCAGGACGTTTACAAGGATGACAGCTGGGAACCCGGCCACACTTCCCTAGCAATTTGGCTATGCACATGGACTGAGGGAGCGCACACCTGATCCTTTCAGGACCTGGCTGGAGGGCAGTTTCCGGATAGAAGAGAACTGGGTTATTAAATTTAACCTTCTGGACTACCTCTTCTTGGTCTGCCCCATCCAGCGCCCTTCTCAGCCACTGATGGAAGACATAATATATAAAGAAAGAAAGGTGGGGGGCTAACCCAGGAAAAAAACGGGGGGTGGAGAGTTCTCCTGAAAACCCCAAGAAGATCCAACAAACAATGCTGAAATTGATCAGTAACTCAAATCAAGGGTTGTTGGTAAAGTGGGTGTTTGGTGGCTATAAAAGACACTGGCTTCCCTGAGTGCCTTCTACAGAAAGGGTTGTCTCTTTTTGCCATTCTTCAACACCTGTCATCCCAAGGGCCTGGAGATCCGCAAGGGAAAGAATAACCCAGCTTCTCCACTCTGTACTTACTCGGCTACCTGGCTGAGCCTGGGGATTGCTCTTTTGAAGGAGATAGTAGAAAGCACACAACTTTGTTGGCAAAACTCCACTATCACTTACACAGGCATTCTTATCCCTTTTCTTCCTCTATTTTTATTTGAATTTTAGACAGTTACTTTCACTTGGTCTAACCTGAGTTACCTTTTCTTTTTCTTTTTTTAATCCACACATAGAAGATAAGAAGGGCAAGGACTGAGATGGCAGGTTTTTGATAGGGTATTCTCCAGAGATTAAGGAAAATTAAAAGACTAAGTTGGTATAAATAGTAATGAGTGTTGATACCACATCTGAATCTACCTTACATTTATGTAATACTGCACTTTTCATAGTCCTGGTATGTATTTCAACTCACATCCTCCCCAAAATCTGTGAAGTAGACAATACTGTGTTATTATCTCCTTTTCCTAGATGAAAAAAAAAAAAAAAAAAACTGAGACAGTGTAGGCAAATGACATACAATCAGTTCAGTAAACTGACCCTTAAACTGGATGTTAAGGAAAATCTTCTAGAAATTTTGGAGGGAAATGCTTTATGATTTGTGTCTAGATGATTCAGCACCAACAGGTACTAACCAACATGAGTAGACTATGAACTAGGCATTAGCAAGAACAGGATAAATCTCCCAGGCGGGCGGGGAGGGGAAACTTGAAGTCTAAGAGTTTGATATTCTGGAGATCTTTGAGAAGAGACATAAAGATGATGGCATTGGAATGCCATGGGAGCTTCTACTGCTTTCCCAAACCCTGTTAGCATGATATTCAATGTGAATCCATGCAAAGTCTCCCATTTTCACCAAAGTACTTCCGAGAAATACACACATCAACACACAACATATTTTACCAAATCTATACTCCTAAATACTCCCATAACTCTGTAGTTATGGCATGTTTGGGTGTGTATGTGATATATCTATATCTATATATATACATATGATTTATTCATATTTATCTATATATATCACGTAAACACACATATATGACAGATCTTTCCCTCTCTCTGTCCCTCTCATTCTCTCTCCCTTCCTCCTCTTTCTCTCTATATACATATATACATACACACAGATATACATATATATCACCAAGATTAAAAATAGGTTTAGTGCTTTTCTGCATTACTCAACACTGAAAATTTTTGGAGGAAAGAAGACATTCAAACTTAGATAGTCAGAGAAGACTAATTGGAGACTATTAAACACTAATGGAATAATTGCCTTAAAATCATGCTAATAGCTTCCTGGCTGCTACATGTTTACTTGGCCAGTTGCTACAGCTTGAATTAAGCAATTATCTCCACCATTTAAAACCACGCCTGGTGCACCACACAAGTGTTTCTGTAGAGGAGAGCTGCTGCTCAGCCGTCCTCAAAGCTTCAGGTTTCTTAGGTGAAGCAGCAACAAAGTGGAGAACTGCCTAATTATGAGGCCACGTACTTGGGGCAGCTGACACAAATTACCCAGAACTAGAGCAAAGAACAATCTTCATGTGTATGATATTACCCACCATGTGTGCAGTTCTGGCATCTCTAAATGTTTCTCAAGTGTCTGCATCTTGAATGCTTTCAGTCTCCCAGTGCTGTTTTGCATTTAAATGGCTTCATGATTTTGTATTGACTGGGCTGAAGAATTAAGTTAGTCATTGATATTAGTAATTTTATTTTCATTTTTTTTCCAAGGGAATAATACTGCTAGAACACATAAATTGTTATTCAAATTTCAGTTTTATTTATCATTTCTTTCTCTCTCTCTGATGAAACCAAACTAAGTTTTCATTCATCTATATTTATTAACAATGGCATTTGGCATTATGAATGATGATTCTTCTTACTTTAAGCAGGTAAGAAAAGATAAACAGAGATGGAAACAGGAAAATAAAGTATAAGTTCAGGTAAAGGTGAGTGATGAATATTTAGCATCTTTGAAGCAGAGTTCTAAATATACAATCATGGTGGCCTCAGAACCTTTGAAGAGAGATGCAACACAGCGGCAGAGTTGGCAATCTGAATCTGGGGCAGGGTGTCATTCTGTGCAAAATTTAAAAGATGGGGAAGGATTTAGCTCATGTAAAGGATGTGCTATACATTTTGGATAGATGATAAAAATCTTATATACACCATAGCAACAAACTGACCATGCAATAATTAAAAATTGGCCAAAATATAGTGGGGCTGGAACCTCAGAGAGAATTATGTTTTCTTGAACAGGCAGTTGTTGGTTATATTTTAGATAAGGAAAACAGAAAGGCTTTCTAAGTCAATGATTATACCTATGAATTTGTTCATTTCCTTTAGAAAATGCCAACTCCAATAAAAAAAAAATAACAGTTTTACTTAGGAAAACCAGACATTTAGCCAACTCTGATTTGTGTGAATGGATGTGTATGTATGTCTACTTTTGTTTATTTTTGTTTGTTTGTTTTATACAGTCCGAGGGCTTAAACCAGGACCTCACACATGCTAGACAAGAGCTTTATCACTGAGCCATACTCTAGCCTTTATAACCACACCTTGTTAGTTTTTAATTTCTTTCCTCACAATAATCCCTTCTTGTTGCCAGTGATTTTGGATGTCTTCTTCCTGTTCTTTGTAATTTACTATTTCTATTTTAATTGGCATTAGACACTCTATAGAATGAAGGTTGGACTGGATCTAGTTGTATTCTAAGAAAAAGCAGGGTTTTTTCTATATTTTTAGTCAGTACAGTGACTACAGTGATATAACAATCAAAGTGATAGGCAAGCAAAATGAAAGAAAGTTGTTTAGAATGAATATCCCTCCTGTGTTGCCTCTCTAATTCCCAGTTTAGTTTTCATTTTGCTAAGAAAAGAAAATGAAGAATATCCTGTATTTTCTTTTTAAAATTTATGTTTTAATTGACACAAATTGTAAATATTTATGGAATGCCACACAATGTTTTGATACCTGTGTAATGTTCAAATCACCTTAAACATATATATATATATATATATATATATATATATATCTTCAAATGTCTATCATTTCTTTGTGGTGAAAATATTCAAAATCCTTTCTTCTCACTTTTTTGGAATACACCATACATTATTATTATTATCTGTAGTCACCCTACTGTGCAATAGAACACCAGAACATGCGGTCATCTACCTGTAACATAGTATCTGACAACCAACCTTTCCTTATCCCTTCTTCCTCCCTACTCTCCCTGAAGAATATCTGAAATAATTTGTTCCACTAGGATATTTTCCTTTATGATTTGAATTCAATCTCCAACTATCTCCACTATTTCAATCAATGTAAAGTGAAATATCATTTAGGAGGTATTCTTCTATGCACTCATGATTTTTGCATACTCCATCAATAATCTTCTAATGCCTTGCTCCTCAGAATTGGTCCAGGAACAAACAGCATTAGTGTACAAGGGAGCTTAGTAGAAATGCAGCAAGCATCTCAGATCCCACCCCTCAGATTCATCT